ACTTATGACCTACTTGACATACAACCACTCGACTTACGACCATGTTTTGTATGCCAAATTTCTGGGACATAAACAACTGCTTGTGTTGTACAGTGTTTATCCTCAACCTTACAGTATAAAATACAGTACTAACAGCATAAAAAGTAAAGTAAAAAATGAAATACCAAAATAAAACAATAAAATAAAATCATTACAGAAATGTGAAGTTGATATTCAGTAGTAAGGTTCGACTTACGTCTGTTTTGACTTACTACCGTCTGGTCGGAACCAAGCTTGGTCATAAGTCGGATGGTACCTGTATATGTACAGTGCTGTAGTCTCATAACTTTTTGCTTTTTGTATGTAAAGCATTCTTTCAACAAACTGGTCGTATCCCACCGATGTAAAGTATTGTATTCATATAAAATGTTAACAGAAAGGAAAAAAAGCCCATGGGTTCTGGGTCCCGCTGTCTGCAGTGCCAAGTGGAGGAAATCTGTGCCTTCTCAGCCAAGAAGATTTACCTTGATCCTGCACCACTTAGCCCACGCTGGCCCATGAGTGCCGTGTGTGACATTGAGGATGCACCTGAGGGCTACTTGCAAAAGTTGACTCAAGCTATCGAAACAGGTAAGATTTTATTTGCATTATATGTTTACATTCATTATGTATATATATATGTGTATTTGTAATTATCTCTTTTGTAGCTACAAAAGCAGAGCTCTACTTGTGGGTTTTCCATTTTCAGTATATAATCTATAATGGAAGTTGTTTAGATTTCCAGTTGTAACACTTAGTACCTCCTATTGTATCCCATTCCAAGCTTCTCCCAACTTTGTGAAGATCTTATTGCCCTTTTGGCATTTCTTCCTCAGTTTACAAATGTGATCTCTTTGTCTCCTTGTTATCTAAAACACAAATCTTCCTTATGAATTCTTTTTCTTTTTAGGATATTAGCCATTTTCCCTGTTGAGGGAGGGTAACCTGAAAAAGAAGAAACACTTTTATCATTACTCACTCCATCACTGTCTTGCCAGAGGCATGCCAATACTACAGTTCAAAAACTGCAACATATTATGTTATATGTGACTTTTATGTATCCCCTTTTTTTCCTATCACGTTCTGTAACTATGTTCCTGCCCATGTATGCTACACAGCTTGTCTCTAGGTTGTCTTAAATTACACACCATGCTATCGTACCTCAGTTATTCATGAACTTTGTTGTAGTTGTATGGTATATCATCTAATCATTTCCTAAATCATTTGTTAAGCCTTAATCCTTAATATCAGTTCTATATTAGGTGTGATTACATTTTAACTTCATTCTCAATTTTTTTTTTAAACACACTGGCCGTCTCCCACTGAGGTAGGATGATCCAAAAAAGAAAAAATGCTTTCACCATCACTCACTCTTATCATTGTCTTGTCAGAGGCATGTCATCATTGTTGCTAAGATGTCCCTCCACATGGCAATATCCCTCACCACTTCTTCAGAGTGTATGCACTGTATTTTCCACCTCCTCACACTCTAACAGCACGTTAAGTCATAAAAAACATTTGTCTCTACTACTCCTATCTAACATATAAAAGTGCTGTCTCTAACCCTTTAACACCTTTTCAGAATATTTTAATTGTAGTACAGAGCTACTGGAAATGTGCATAATAATGAGCATTTCCAATATCAACATTAAAATTCTTCTTCTTTCTTTCTTTCTTTCTTTCAACAAACCAGCCATATCCCACCGAAGCAGGATGGCCCAAAAGAAAAACAAAAGTTTCTCTTGTTGACTTTGGTAATGTATACAGGAGAAGGGGTTACTAACCCCTTGCTCCTGGCATTTTAGTCATCTCTTATAACATGCATGGTTTATGGAGGAAGACTTCTGTTCCACTTCCCCATGGAGATAAGAGGAAATAAACAATACCAAGAACTAGTAAGAAATTTAAAAGAAAACCCAGAGGGGTGTATATATATATAGATATTTTTTTTTTAACAAGTTGGCCGTCTCCCACCAAGGCAGGGTGACCCAAAAAGAAAGAAAATCCCCAAAAAGAAAATACTTTTATCATCGTTAAACTCTTTCACCTCACTCATATATAATCACTGTTTTTGCAGAGGTGCCCAGAACACAGCAGTTCAGAAGCATATACGTATGAAGATACGTACTGTATACAACATATCCCTCAAAACTGCCAATATCCCAAACCCCTCCTCTAAAGTGCAGGCATTTACTTCCCATTTCCAGTACTCGAGTCTGGCTATATAAAAATAACCGGATTCCATGAATCCCTTCACTAAATATTACCTTGGTCACACTCCAACAGATCATCAGGTCCCAAATACCATTCGACTCCATTCACTCCTATCTAACACGCTCACGCATGCTTGCTGGAAGTCCAAGCCCCTCGCCCACAAAACCTCCTTTACCCCCTCCCTCCAACCTTTTCGAGGACGACCCCTACTCTGCCTTACTTACCCAACAGATTTATATGCTCTCCATGTCATTCTACTTTGATCCACTCACTCTAAATGACCAAACAACCTCAACAACCCCTCTTCAGCCCTCTGACTAATATTTTTATTAGCTCCACACCTTCTCCTAATTTCCACACTCTGAATTCTCTGCATAATATTTACGCCACACATTGCCCTTAGATCTAGGTAGTAGGTTGGTAGACAGCAACCGCCCAGGGAGGTACTACCGTCTTGCCAAGTGAGTGTAAAACGAAAGCCTGTAATTGTTTTACATGATGGTAGGATTGCTGGTGTACCTTTTTCTGTCTCATAAACATGCAAGATTTCACATACGTCTTGCTACTTCTACTTACACTTAGGTCACACTACACTTACATGTACAAGCATATATATACACACCCCTCTGGGTTTTCTTCTATTTTCTTTCTAGTCCTTGTTCTTGTTTATTTCCTCTTATCTCCATGGGGAAGTGGAACAGAATTCTTCCTCCGTAAGCCATGCGTGTTGTAAGAGGCGACTAAAATGCCGGGAGCAAGGGGCTAGTAACCCCTTCTCCTGTATAAATTACTAAATTTAAAAAAGAAACTTTCATTTTTCTTTTTGGGCCACCCTGCCTTGGTGGGATACGGCCAGTTTGTTGAAAAAAAAAAAATTGCCCTTAGACAGGACATCTCCACCGCCTCCAACCGCCTCCTCACTGCAGCATTTACAACCCAAGTTTCACACCCATATGAGAGTGTTGTTACCACTATACTTTCATACATTCCCTTCTTTGCCTCCATTGATAATGTTTTTTTGTCTTCACATATACCTCAATGCACCACTCACCTTTTTTTCTTCATCAATTCTATGGTTAACCTCATCCTTCATAAATCCATCTGCTTCTTCCATACTCCTTCTAACCAATTTGATATCCAATTTTTCTTTATCTAAATCATTTGATACTCTCATCACCTTACTCTATTCTATGTTCACTTTGAATTTTCTACCTTTACACACACTCCCAAACTAGTCCACTAACCTTTGCAACTTTTCTTTAGAATCTCCCATAAGCACAGTATCATCAGCAAAAAGTAACTGTGTCAATTCCCATTTTGTATTTGATACCCCATAATTTAATCCCACCCCTCTCCCGAACACCCTAGCATTTACTTTTTTTACAACCCCATCTATAAATATATTAAACAACTATGGTGACATTACACATCTGTCCAAGACTTACTTTTACCAGGAAGTAGTCTCCATCTCTTCTACACACCCTCACCTGAGCCTCACTATCCTCATAAAAACTCTTTACAGCATTAAGTAACTTACCACCTATTCCATATACTTGCAACATCTGCCACATTGCTCCCTTATCCACTCTATCATATTCTTTCAACACACCGGCCGTATCCCACCGAGGCGGGGTGGCCCAAAAGGAAAAATGAAAGTTTCTCATTTTACATTTAGTAATATATACAGGAGAAGGGGTTACTAGGCCCTTGCTCCTGGCATTTTAGTCGCCTCTTACAACACACATGGCTTACGGAGGAAGAATTCTGTTCCACTTCCCCATGGAGGACTCTATCATATGCCTTTTCTAAATCTATAAATGCAATGAAAACTTCCCTACCTTTATCTAAATAATGTTCACATGTATGCTTCAATGTAAACCCTTGAACTACACATCCCTTACCCACTCTGAAATCTCCTTGCTCATCCGCAATCCTGCATTCTGTCTTACCTCTAATTCTTTCAATAATAACCCTACCATACATTTTTCCTGGTATACTCAGTAAACTTATTCCTCTATAATTTTTACAATCTCTTTTGTCCCCCTTCCCTTTATAAAAGGAATTATACATGCTCTCTGCCAGTCCCTAGGTACCTTCCCCTCTTTCATACATATATTAAACAAAAATACTAACCACTCCAACACTATATCCCCCCTGCTTTTAACATTTCTGTCATGATCCCTTCAGTTCCAGCTGCTTTACCCCCTCTCATTCTACGTAATGCCTCACGCACCTCCCCCACACTCAAATCCTGCTCTTCTTCACTCCTAAAAGATGGTATACCTCCCTGGCCAGTGCATGAAATTACCGCCTCCCTTTCTTCGTCGACATTTAAATGTTCCTCGAAATATTCCTGCCATCTACCCAATACCTCCATCTCCCCATCTCTGTTTTTAACTGACAAATCCATTTGTTCCCTAGGCTTTCTTTACTTGTTTATCTCACTCCAAAAATTTTTCTTATTTTCATCAAAATTTCTTGACAGTGCCTCTCCCACTCTATCATCTGCTCTCCTTTTACACTCTCTCACCACTCTCACCACTTATACATCTAAGTGTAGTGTCACATAAGTGCAAGTAGAAGTAGCAAGGCATACCTGAAATCTTGCATGTTTATGAGACAGACAAAAAAACACCAGCAATCCTACCATCATGTAAAACAATTACAGGCTTTTGTTTTACACTCATTTAGCAGGATGGTAGTACAGTACCTTCCTGGGCAGTTGCTGTCTACTAATCTAATACCTAAAATTTCCAGTTTTTTTTTTTTCAACAAACTGGCTGTATCCCACCAAGGTAGGGTGGCCCAAAAAGAAAAATGAAAGTTTCTCTTTTTAAATTTAGTAATTTATACAGGAGAAGGGGTTACTAGGCCCTTGCTCCCGACATTTTAGTCGCTTCTTACAACACACATGGCTTACGGAGGAAGAATTCTGTTCCACTTCCCAATGGAGATAAATAAACAAGAACAAGAACTAGAAAGAAAATAGAAGAAAACCCAGAGGGGTGTGTATATATATGCTTGTACATGTATGTGTAGTGTAACCTAAGTGTAAGTAGAAGTAGCAAGACGTACCTGTAATCTTGTACTATATTTATGAGACAGACAAAAGACACCAGCAATCTTACCATCATGTAAAACAATTACAGGCTTTCGTTTTACACTCACTTAGCAGGACAGTAGTACCTCCCTGGGCAGTTGCTGTCTACCAATCTAATACCTAAAATTTCCAATATCAACATTAAAATTATGAACCTATATTCTAATCAATGCGCTGTGCCTTCAGTAAATAGTTTATTTATACATTTAAATATTTTCAGGTCCTTATGGAAAATGTGTGTACGACACTGATAATGATGTTTGTGACAACCAGGTAACTAATTAATAGGATGTCTTGTTATGCCCCTTATCAAAAAAAATTCTGGAATGGTTTTTAATGCTTTATATGCTGCTGGAGTGTGAGCAACAAGAAATTCAGGAAAACCACTGAGCTGGACTTGCATCCTGGGAATGAGGTCAGTACATATAGTATTTGCACTCAGAAGGAGGGATGGGAGGTGGTTTTTTTTTTTTTTTTTTAATCACCTTACCTTGGTGGGAGATACCCAGAATTGTGTAGACATCACAATTCAGATGATTTTCTGAATTGCAACATCCCTACCCATCCTTTAGAGTGTAGGCACTGTACTTCACACCTTCAAGAGTCGAGTCTGGTTAAACGGTTTTTCAAACCCCTTCATAAATGATACCTTGCTCACACTCCAGCAGCATGTCACCTCATAAAAACCATTTGTCTCCATTCATTCCAATCTAACATGTTAACCCAAAGCTGCTGGACTCTCACGTCCCTAGCACTTAAAACCTCTTTTAGCCCTCCTTCCTCCAACCCATTGTGGAGCAACCCCTACCTTCCTTCCTTCCACTCAATTTATAAACACTCTTGGGCATCTTGTTCTGCTCCATCCTCTCTTAAAGGCCCAAACCATGTTAACAACCCATCCTCAGCCCTCTGAATTATACCTTTGATAACTCCCACTCATTATTCTAATTTGTACATTTTGAATTCCCTGTAAAATATGAACATGACATTGCCCAAACATGAATCTTCCCCCGGCATCATTTTAAAGCCCATGCTCACATCCATTTTAATGTTGTAGCATACTCGTTTACATATTTTTTTTTTGCCTCCATAGATAAGATAAATTTCTTCCAAAGATGTCTCAAAAAACTTAACATACTTTTTTTTTTGTATTTTTGTATTCTCTCAACTTTCATTACTGACGTGTCCATCCCGAATATCTGAAGCTTCCTGAACAAGTGAATGCATTCACTTTGCTTTCAGTAAATTCTATTATTCTTCCCTATACTTTTTTTTCTCACACCTTCCTTTTTTTTCCCCCCTTTTAATTTTCTTAATTTCTCTTCAGAATCTCTCAAAAGAATGGTGTCTTCAGCAAAGATCAACTGTGATAACTTCTGCTTTGTATCAGATTTGTTATCTTTTAAACTTATACCTTATCCCAGCACCCTAGCATTCACTTCTTCTACAACTCATCTGTAACTATGCTAAACCACATTGGTGATATTACAAGTCCTTGTCTAAGGCCCACTTTTAGTGACATCTGTGTACCATAACCTGAGCCTTGCTATCTGCATAAAAACTCTTTACTGCATTAAGTAACCTACTACCAATTCCATAAATTGTAGTAGGGGGTAGAAAAGCAACCCCCCAGGGAGGTATACCTCCTGCAATGAGTGTAAAACGAAGCCGTGATTGTTTTACATGATGGTGGATTGCTGATGCTTTTGCTGTCTCAAAATAGAAAAATTCAGGCATTTCTTGCTATTCAAATTTTCATTTTAGGTCACACTACCATACATGACACATTTTTTTATACACACTCTCTAGTTTTTTTTTGATTTTATTTTAATTTCTTGGCTTTTTAATTTTCCTTTTATATCCAGGGGGAAGGGGAATAAAATTTTCCCTCCAAAGCCATGCGTTTGTAAAAGTCAACTAAAAATGGGGGGAAAAGGGGTAGAACCCCTTTTCCTTAAAGATTACTAAAAAAAATAAGAAGAAGAAAATTGTCAAAGGGGGAAGTCTGAATGTGCGTGGATGTTGTGCAGATGATAAAAAGAGATGATTGTGGATGTTATGAATGAGAAGAAGCTGGATGTCCTGGCTTTAAGTGAAACAAAGCTGAAGGGGTGGGAGGAGTTTCAGTGGAGAGGAATAATGGGATTAGGTCAGGGGTTTCAAAATGAGTTAGAGCAAAAGGGAAGGAGTAGCAATAAATGTTGAAAGGGTAAGTTTATGGCAGGAAAAGAGGACTAAAAATGTATTAATTCAAGGATTATGTGGAGTAAAATAAAGATTGGATGTGAAAAGTGGGTTATAATAAGCGTGTATGCACCTGGAGAAGAGAAAAGTGTAGAGGAGAGAGAGAGATTTGGGAAATGTTGAGTGAATGCGTGGGGAGTTTTGAATCAAGTGTGGGGAGTAATGGTGGTTGGGGATTTTAATGCTAAAGTGGGTAAAAATGTTATGGAGGGAGTAGTAGGTAAATTTGGGGTGCCGGGTAAATGTAAATGGGGAGCCTTTAATTGAGCTATGTGTAAAAGAAATTTGGTAATAAGTAATACAATTTTATGAAAAAGAGGATAAATAAAAATACAAGGGATGATGTAGCACGTAATGAAAGTAGTTTTTAGATTATGTATTGGTGGATAAAAGGTTGATGGGTAGGCCCCCAGGATGTACATGTTTATAAGGGGCAACTGATATATCGGATCATTATTTAGTTGTAGCTACAGTTAGAGTAAGAGGTAGATGGGAAAAGAGGAAGGTGGCAACAACAAGTAAGAGGGAAGTGAAAGTGTATAAACTAAGGGAAAGGGGGAAGTTCGGGTGAATATAAGCGACTATTGGCAGAAAAGGTGGGCTAGTGCAAAGAGAGTAGTGGGGGGGTTGAAGAGGGTTGGAATAGTTTTTAAAATGCAGTATTAAAGTGGGCCGAAGTTTGTGGTTATAGAGGGTGGGGCAGGAGGAAAGAGGAGTGATTGGTGGAAGGGATGAAGTAAAGGGTGGATAAAAGAGAAAAAAGGTAGCTTATGAGAGTTTTTACAAAGCAGAAGTGTTATAAGAAGAGCAGAGTATATGGAGATTTAAAAGAAAGGTAAGAGAGTGGTGAGAGAGTGAAAAAGGAGAGCGATGATAGAGGGGGAGAGGCACTGTCAAGAAATTTTAATGAAAATAAGAAAAAATTTTGGAGTGAGTTAAACAAGTTAAGAAAGCTGGGGAAAATATGGATTTGTCAGTTAAAAACAGAGTAGGGGAGTTAGTAGATGGGGAGATGGAGGTATTGGGTAATGGCGAGAATTTTTGAGGAACTTTTTAAATGTTAAGGAAAAAACAGAGGCAGAAATTTTCATGCACTGGTCAGGGAGGTATACCATCTTTTAGGAGTGAAGAAGAGCAGAATGTAAGTGTGGGGGAGGTCGTGAGGCATTACGTAAAATGAAAGGGGGTAAAGCAGCTGGAACTGATGGGATCATGACAGAAATGTTAAAAGCGGGGGGGGATATAGTGTTGGAGGGTTGGTACTTTTGTTTAATAAATGTATGAAAGGGGGGAAGGTACCTAGGGATTGGCAGAGGCATGTATAGTCCCTTTATATAAAGGGAAAGGGGACAAAAGAGACTGTAAAAATTATAGAGGAATAAGCTTACTGAGTATACCAGGAAAAGTGTAGGGTTTAGGGTTATAATTGAAAGAATTAGAGGTAAGACAGAATGTAGGATTGGGGATGAGCAAGGAGGTTTTAGAGTGGTAGGGGATGTGTAGATCAGGTGTTTACATTGAGCATAAAATGTGAACAGTATTTAGATAAAGATAGGGAAGTTTTTTATTGCATTTATGGATTTAGAAAAGGCATATGATAGAGTGGATAGAGGAGCAATGTGGCAGATGTTGCAAGTATATGGAATAGGTGGTAAGTTATTAAATGCTGTAAAGAGTTTTTATGAGGATAGTGAGGCTCAGGTTAGGGTGTGTAGAAGAAGGGAGACTACTTCCCGGTAAAAGTAGGTCTTAGACAGGGATGTGTAATGTCACCATGTTGTTTAATATATTTATAGATGGGGTTGTAAAGGAAGTAAATGCTAGGGTGTTTGGGAGAGGGGGGGGATAATTATGGGGAATCAAATTCAAAATGGGAATTGACACAGTTACTTTTTGCTGATGATACTGTGCTTATGGGAGATTCTAAAGAAAAATTGCAAAGGTTAGTGGATGAGTTTGGGAATGTGTGTAAAGGTAGAAAGTTGAAAGTGAACATAGAAAAGAGTAAGGGATGAGGGTGTCAAATGATTTAGATAAGAAAAATTGGATATCAAATGGGGAGGAGGAGTATGGAAGAAGTGAATGTTTTCAGATACTTGGGAGTTGACGTGTCGGCGGATTGGATTTATGAAGGATGAGGTTAATCATAGAATTGATGAGGGAAAAAAGGTGAGTGGTGCGTTGAGGTATATGTGGAGTCAAAAAACGTTATCTATGGAGGCAAAGAAGGGAATGTATGAAAGTATAGTAGTACCCAACACTCTTATATGGGTGTGAAGCTTGGGTGGTAAATGCAGCACGAGGAGACGGTTGGAGGCAGCGAGATGTCTTGTTTAAGGGCAATGTGTGGTTAAATATTATGCAGAAAATTCGGAGTGTGGAAATTAGGAGAAGGTGTGGAGTTAATAAAAGTATTAGTCAGAGGGCAGAAGAGGGGGTTTTTAGGTGTTTGGTCATTTAGAGAGAATGGATCACAGTAGAATGACATGGAAAGCATATAAATCTATAGGGGAGGAAGGCGGGGTAGGGGTCGTCCTCGAAAGGGTTGGAGAGAGGGGGTAAAGGAGTTTGTGGGTAAAGGGGGTTGGACTTCCCGCAAGCGTTTCGTGAGCGTGTTAGATAGGAGTGAATGGAGACGATGGTACTTGGGACCCGACGATCTGTTGGAGTGTGAGCCCGGGGGAATATTTAGTGAAGGGATTCAGGGAAACCGGTTATTTTCATATAGTCGGACTTGAGTCCTGGAAATGGGAAGTACAATGCCTGCACTTTTAAAGGAGGGGTTTGGGATATTGGCAGTTTGGAGGGATATGTTTTATCTTTATATGTTTATGCTTCTAGACTGTTGTATTCTGAGCACCTCTGCAAAAACAGTGATAATGTGCGAGTGTGGTGAAAGTGTTGAATGATGATGAAAGTATTTTCTTTTTGGGGATTTTCTTTCTTTTTTGGGTCACCCTGCCTCGGTGGGAGACGGCCGACTTGTTGAAAAAAAAAAAAAAAAAAAAAAAAAAAAATTTATGGATGTTATTAGCTGGGAAGATACAGATTACAAAATCCAGTACTGTACTAAATATGGTACCATTTAGTATGTTGAATATAGAAATACAGAACCAGAGGGCTAATTAAAAGAATTTGTTTCATGAAAGTGAAAATTTCATATCTGCAATATCCTGTAAAGTGTAACTTTATTAAAGTACACCTTTGGTTTATTTCTTTCAGGTTGTTAATTTTGAATTTAGTGATGGTGCAACTGCAACTCTTACAATGATCGCCTTCACGAAGAATTTATGTGCAAGAAAGACAGAAGTGTATGGTACTCGTGGACAGTTAGTATGGGACGAGTCACTTGGTCATACAGTTCAGCATTTTGACTTCCTGTCCAGAGTCTCAAAAGCTCATCAGTGTGAGGAAGTAAGAATACTATATACAGTAGGACCAGCTGTGGATACTGAAACTGTGGATAGTAGCAAACCCTATGTATAGGTCCTATACATACCTGTTATAAAGTTTAATTGATAAATTATGCACAATAAGTGGAGAATTATCACTTATTCACTGATGGGAAGTGAAGCCGTGAAGTGCTTCCCACTTCACGGCTTCTCTCAGACTTTGAAGAACTACCAGCTTCTCTACTTTTGCACTTTGGGCCATTATTATGCAGAATTTAGACTTGTTTGTGGGCCACAGTAAACCATGAATAACTGAAACTGCAGATACCAAATCAGTGGATACAGGGGTTCTGCTGTATGGTCATACAATGCTCAATAGTGTAGAATATGTCTGTATTTTATTTTGGCATTTGTCTGGGATGGTTGTCTGGTGGTTTTGTATTTAATTATTAATATTACTGTTAGAGTTGTTATTATCACAAGTGATACCTTTCATTGTCTGACAACTGATATAAAGTCTAGACTCTTTGTTATAATAACCCTATTATTTTTTTTATATTTCCATTTTTATAATATTGTATGATAGGTTTGATATACTGTATTTGTATATTGAGTGAGCTGGAGCTTTTGGTCATCTGACCAAGGCCTTCCACTGGCTTACTGGTCCACCCCTTTAAAAATTATGGTTGTGATTATAACCATTAGATAGTGAGCTGGTACTCGGTGTCACCTTGCACAGACTATCTGCATAACGAGCAGTGAGCATGACTTAACTCTCAGGTTCAGCTTTACTTCCCCTCCATTCACTCAGAGGTTTCCTATGCAGACTCTAAATATATTTTAAAAAAATGTCTTTTTTTTTTTATTTTTCAACAAGTCGGCCGTCTCCCACCGAGGCAGGGTGACCCAAAAAAGAAAGAAAATCCCCAAAAAGAAAATACTTTCATCATCATTCAACACTTTCACCACACTCACACATTATCACTGTTTTTGCAGAGGTGCTCAGAATACAACAGTTTAGAAGCATATACGTATAAAGATACACAACATATCCCTCCAAACTGCCAATATCCCAAACCCCTCCTTTAAAGTGCAGGCATTGTACTTCCCATTTCCAGGACTCAAGTCCGACTATATGAAAATAACCGGTTTCCCTGAATCCCTTCACTAAATATTACCCTGCTCACATTAAAAATAGGTGCATTTTACACTTCTTGTTTTAGTGAATTCCTGTACTGGTGAATAGAAGTGAGATTTTCAGTTTATGACCTTTGAGGTGGTTTGCCTGAAACTGGTCATTGTTTGGAGTTAGAGGAAAGCATGTCTAAGACATTTTTATCAAAATTTACAAGAAAATATATTTACTAAAACCACTTGAATTGCTGAGTTTATCATAGTTCTAAGCATATCTTATGATTTTGTTTTAAATTATTAGTCATTAAGAGTAATAAAACTACCAATAGAAGCTCAGACTAATTTAAAAAGTGCATCATAAATACTACCCTCAGAAAATAATCATTTTTCTGTGTATTGAATATTTCAATTTTCTAAGAGCTGACATAAATTATTAGTTACTTTTGTTGCAGAGTTTGAGAGCTCCTCCTGGGTGGGGACATAATGGTGCAGATTTCTTCTTGATTGAAGCATTTGCAAAAGCAGTGGCAGAGGGCGACCGAGAATGTATCTTATCAGGTAACTAACTTCTTTTAACAAACTGGCCACATCCTACCGAAGCTGGGTGGCCCAAAAAGAGAAACAAAAGTTTCTCTTTTTAATTTTAGTAATGTATACAGGAGAAGGGGTTACTAGCCCCTTGCTCCTGGCAGTTTAGTCGCCTCTTACGACATGCATGGCTTACGGAGGAAGAATTAGGTAATTAACTGTTCATCATTAATGTATGTTTGTCCTTGGGAAGTACCAGACCCTGTGGGGTTCTATAGATAATCAATAAATCAGGTAACCAAGAAGGGTTCAGCAGGTCATGGGTATTTATCTATCCTCTTTCCATAAGAATAGTCTATGATTAGTTTTTTGTATCATTTTAATGATTCTAAATGAGTTATATCCCATTACTTATCACTTTAAAGTTGTTCTAAGTGCTATTTTGGCTAGAACAGTACAGCATCTTGTTCTAGTAGTTTGTGGCTTCATTGTTAGGAATACTACTATCACTATGCCTGTGGGTGAAGTTTGGGATAAAAAAAAATATATATTTGCCATTTTTCAAAAGAAAAGCAACGAGCAAATTAATCAGTAAAAGGCTAAAGTTACTTTATACAGTATTTCTTTTTTCAGGCCCAAGTGTGTCTTTAGAAACACATCTTCTGACATTTGCAGCAGAACATTCACGCTTGACAGGCAGTGTTGTCAGGCCTAGCGAAGATCCTCGCTGGATGGTGTAAGATATAATGAAGAAAAAATTGAGCAGCTAATGGTACCTATAATTAAGAAGCCAGAAGACAGGAGCAATAGAACAAGATATTGGCAGTTTGGAGGGATATGTTGTGTATCTTTATATGTGTATGCTTCTAGACTGTTGTATTCTGAGCACCTCTGCAAAAACAGTGATAATGTGCGAGTGTGGTGAAAGTGTTGAATGATGATGAAAGTATTTTCTTTTTGGGGATTTTCTTTCTTTTTTTTTTTTGGGTCACCCTGCCTCGGTGGGAGACGGCCGACTTGTTGAAAAAAAAAAAAATAATAATGAAGAGCCATATTGGTGGTGGACAATGAAGTACATAAATGAGAAAATAATGCAGTATTGTACTATATCATTACATTATACAGCCTCTCCTCACTTAACGCTGGATTTCTGTTCCTAAGACCACGTTGGTAAACAAATACATAGCTAAGTGAGGAGCATACTATATTGGTAGTGGGTTCGTGTCAGCCATCTTTGATATTGTTTTAATGTCACCTTTGCACTATATTTTTAAATGTTTATACAGTAGTCTACTGTATATTGTAATAAACAGAATAGAGGAAATAAGCTCCAATGTACATTATTTACATATGCATACTAGTCAGAGAACCCATCATAAGTCTGAATTATCGGTAAACGAGTACGTCCCTAAGTGAGGAGAGGTTGTAATGTATTGTGTTTTTATTTTCAACAAACTGCCCATATCCCACCGAGGCAGGGTGTATTTACCTATTTATAATTACTTGTTTGTAGCTGCAGGAGCAGAGATATGCTCATGGTGTCTATAATTATTAATAGTTTGCTCATCATATAATTTTTAAAATATGCTCTTGGTGTCCTATCTTCAATAATTTGTTCTTCATATAATTTAAAACAATTCCAATGGGTGTACCACTTTCTACATCTGTAATTCATTCTGTTGATCTACCACTGTGCAAGACAAAATTTCCTAGTACAGTAGGACCCCCTGTATCCACGGGGGATGCATTCCAAGGACCTACTGCAGATACCAAAACTGCAGATAGTAGTGAACCCTATATATAAGTGCTATACATTTTTTTTTTCAACAAGTCGGCCATCTCCCACCGAGGCAGGGTGACCCAAAAAAGAAAGAAAATACTATCGTCATTATTCAACACTTTCACCTCACTCACACATAATCACTGTTTTTGCAGAGGTGCTCAGAACACAACAGTTTAGAAGCATATACGTATAAAGATACACAACATATCCCTCCAAACTGCTAATATCCTGAAACCCCTCCTTTAGAGTGCAGGCATTGTACTTCCCATTTCCAGGACTCAAGTCCGGCTATATAAAAATAACCGGTTTCCCTGAATCCCTTCACTAAATATTACCCTGCTCACACTCCAACAGATCGTCAGGTCCCAAATACCATTCGTCTCCATTCACTCCTATCAAACATGCTCATGCACGCCTGCTGGAAGTCCAAGCCCCTCGCTCACAAAACCTCCCTTACCCCTTCCTTCCAACCTTTTCGAGGACCCCTACCCTGCCTGCCTTCTCCTACAGATTTAAATGCTCTCCCTGTCATTCTACTTTGATCCATTCTCTCTAAATGACCAAACCACCTCAACAGCCCCTCTTCAGCCGTCTGACTAATTTTTTTTTTTTTTTTTTTTTTTTTCAACAAGTCGGCCGTCTCCCACCGAGGCAGGGTGACCCAAAAAAGAAAGAAAATCCCCAAAAAGAAAATACTTTCATCATCATTCAACACTTTCACCACACTCGCACATTATCACTGTTTTGCAGAGGTGCTCAGACATATAACAGTCTAGAAGCATAACATATAAGATTTCAAACATTCCCTCCAACTGCCAATATCCAAACCCTCCTTTAAAGTGCAGGCATTGTACTTCCCATTTCCAGACTCAAGTCCCCCATATATGAAAATAACGGTTTCCCTGAATCTCTTCACTAATATTACCCTGCCACACTCCAACAGATGTCAGGTCCCAAGTACCATTCGTCTCCATTCACTCCTATCTAACACGCTCACGCACGCTTGCTGGAAGTCCCAAGCCCCTTACCCACAAAACCTCCTTTACCCCTCTCTCCAACCTTTCGAGGACGACCCCTACCCCGCCTTCCTTCCCTATAGATTTATATGCTTTCCATGTCATTCTACTGTGACCATTCCTCTAAATGACCAAACACCTCAACAACCCCTCTTCTGCCTCTGACTAATACTTTTATTAACTCCACACCTTCTCCTAATTTCCACACTCCGAATTTTCTGCATAATATTTACACCACACATTGCCCTTAAACAGGACATCTCCGCTGCCTCCAACCGTCTCCTCGCTGCTGCATTCACAACCCAAGCTTCACACCCATATAAGAGTGTTGGTACTACTATACTTTCATACATTCCCTTCTTTGCCGCCATAGATAACGTTTTTTGACTCCATATGTACCTCAACGCACCACTCACCTTTTTTCCCTCATCAATTCTATGATTAGCTTCATCCTTTATAAATCCACCCACCGACATGTCAACTCACAAGTATCTGAAAACATTCACTTCTTCCATACTCCTCCTCCCCAATTTGATATCCAATTTTTCTTTATCTAAATCATTTGATACCCTCATCACCTTACTCTTTTCTATGTTTTATGTCCTATACATACCTATTATAAATTTTAATTAATAAATTATGCACAATAAGTGGAGAATTATCACTTTTTCACTGATGGGAAGCATTTCACGGTTTCTCTTAGACTTTGAAGAACTGCCACCGTCACTACTTTTGCACTTTAAGGCCATTATTAAGCAAAAATTAAGGTTTTTGCAGGCCACGGTAAACTGTGGATACTGAAATGGGGGTACTAGACCGTTAGATAATAGGGGTCCTTCTGTATCTCTTCAGCTCCAAATTTTTTTCTCAATTTACAGCTGTGGACCTCATTTGCTGTTCAGCGGCAGAAATTTAATGTTTATTTACAATGTTTAGTATGGTAGTCTCGAATGAGTTAAGTGTCGTTATGTTTTTATCTGATAATTTGACAAAATATTTCATTCTCATTAAAAAAATAACTGTATTCTTATTTAAGTTTTCTTAATATGTTTCTTCATAATTTTGAAGTCTTCGATGCAGCTTTACTATGTGCATAATATTATTTAAAAGATTTGTGTATATAAAAATGTCAAATCTTTCTTCTTTCAACGCACCGGCCATATCCCACCGAGGTGGGTTGGTCCAAAAAGAAAAACGAAAGTTTCTCCTTTTACATTTCAAATTCAAATTCAATTCAAATTCAAAGTTTATTCTCTATAAGGATTACAATGCTGAGTTTACAGAATTTGGTTATTGTGTGGTTTACATGTAGTAAAATAATAATTACAGAGTGTACCACTAGAACACCTAGCATGGCTAGGCATTTCAGGCAGACTTAAATTAAATCATAAGTTTAAAATATTACAAAATTATGAGGTAAGTTGGTATTATGGCTAAGTGACTAAATACTAGTTTGTGAGTTTAGCAATGTGAATGCTTTTGTTTTGGCACTATACATAGTTTCAGTATTGGAGTATCACAGGCCAACTTATGACTAGTTAAGATTCATTATTTTGAGATTGAGATTGATATTTCTGTTTATGGTCAAATGGGTGAGTGAGTGTAAGTGTTAACCACCAGGTGGTATTCGTGTAATTAGTTGACAGGGTGTATCAGGGAGATAAGATGTTTTCTGATGGTAGTTTTGAAGGTGATGAATGTGTCTGCAGTTTTAGAATTTTCAGGTAGGGTGTTCCAGATTTTAGGGCCTTTGACATACATTGAATTTTGTAAAGGTTTTAGTCTGACACGGGGGAATGTCAAGAGATGTTTGTGTCTGGTGTTGTGCCTGTGGGTTCTGTCGCAACTATCAAGAAAGCGTTTTAGGTCAAGGTTAATATTGGAATTTAAGGTCCTGTAGATGTAAATTGCACAGTAGTAAGTGTGGATGTACTGAACAGGGAGTAAGTTTAGATCTATGAAGAGTGGGGGTGTGTGTTGCCAGGGATGGGATTTAGTGATTATTCTACTGCGGCTTTTTGTTGGGTTATTATTGGCTTTAGGTGTGTTGCTGCAGTTGAACCCCAAGCACAGATAGCATAGGTGAGGTATGGATATATAAGTGAATGGTATAGTGTGAGAAGGGCAGTTTGCGGCACGTAGTATCGATCTTGGAGAGGATCCCAACCGTTTTGGATACTTTTTTGGTTATGTGTTGGATATGGTGCTGAGTTCAGGTTGTTGTCGAGTATAGGCCTAGGAATTTGCCCTCATTATGCCTGGCAATTAGAGTGTTGTCGATCTTAATGTTAATTTGCGCATCTCCTGCTCTGCTACCAAACATAATGTAGTAGGTTTTGTCAGTGTTAAAGTGTAAGTTTATTGGCTGTCATCCAAGTCGATATTTTGATCAGCTCCTCATTAACAATGTGTGTGAGGGTGGCAAGATTAGGGTGAGAGATGACATAAGTCGTGTCGTCAGCAAAGAGAATGGGGTTCAGGTGTTGAGATACGTTTGGAAGATCATTGATGTATATGAGGAAGAGCAGGGGACCAAGGACACTTCCCTGCGGAACTCCAGTATCAAGTGGCTGTGTTGTTGATGCTGTGTCTTTAATGGTGACATACTGATACCTATTAGTAAGGTAAGATTTGAAATATGCAAGCGCATGGCCTCTTATACCATAATGGTCACGTTTGTGGAGTAGGATGCCGTGGTCTACTGTGTCAAAAGCTTTTCTTAGGTCAATAAAAATTCCTAGTGGATATTCCTTATTTTCCAATGCTGTGTAAAGCAGATCTAGCATTTTTATGATTGCATCGTTAGTGCTTTTATTTTTCCTGAATCCAAATTGGCAGGGGTTGAGTACGTTTTGTGCCGTTATAAATTAATATAGTCTCCTGTGCACGAGTTTCTCAAAGATTTTGGATAGCAATGGTAAGTTTGATATTGGCCTATAGTTGTTTAAATCTGTAGGGTCACTACCTTTATGTATTGGTGTAACCCTTGCCGTCTTGAGTAGTTTCGGGAAGGTGCTAGTTTCTAGTGACTTGTTAAAAAGTAATGAGATAGCATGCGAGAGAACATGGGCCGCTCTCTTGTACAATAATGGTGGGACATGAGACAGATTCCCTGAGTTATTTTTAAGTGACTTTATAATCTCAGTGACTTCCATGGGCTCAGTTGGAACAAGATAGAAGGAATTTGGGAAATTCCCATCTAGGTAGTAATACTATGTATATACAGGAGAAACGGTTACTAGCCCTTTGCTCTAAATGTCAAATATAAATAATTATTTAATTAAGCAACTAAAAAATTCATTCTCAGTAATTTTGTCAATTAAAATTGTTTTTTGAGAAATAAAATTATGGAAAATGGTATAAATCAAATAGACCTGTAGTTTGACTTCTTCTATTTAGTTGCAATAAATTCTTTATTTTCTGATCAATATGGAAAGAAATGTCTTAGCTTCAATTTTCACTGTATTTTATTATGAAAACTAATAAAATAGTAAAAATTTTAAATTTCAGTTTTGATTATGTATGGAACTGGACTTCTAATGTTTCTTTTACATTATTTGTTAATTTATCTATAATAAATTTATTATAATACCTGTTGTTTTTATCATATAAAATGTTAAAATAGTAAGTTGTAAGAGTTTCATTTCCATTTATTCATTCCCCTTCAAATGAGAATCTCGGATAATGGTTTGGGGCTCTTGATCCAAGGAACTCAACTTCCATGGAACGAACTTGATTGCTTCACATTTTCCTAGACTCTCTCTCTGACCTCTAGAGGATTAGTGCTCCCTGGTGAATGCAACAATAACAGTGTACTATATCCAGTTATAAAAAAAAGAAATATTTTTCCAGCTGTCACACATGCAAACTCATTGTCTCTCAGTTATCTGTATGGATTTGTAAGTGTTAGTGAAGATGATGTTTAATTTGTGACCTTACCTGTGTGAGCATAAGCTTAGTGGGTACTTACTTATATTATAATTTACATTATGAATATTACAAAATGTGGCTCTGGGTTGAGACAATAGATGGAAGAAGAATGAAGAGAGATGATGCTTGTCAGAGAGAGAGAGAGAGAAGAAAAACCTTCAACATCATTCAAAAGGTTAGGTTAGGAAAGATTTCTCAGGAAACAGGACAAGTGTTTCCTCATGCGGGTCTTAGTTACATGATAACTGCTGGAGCTTTTGGTCATCTGACAGGTCTTCCACTGGTTTACTGGTCCACCCCTTTAAAAATTATGATAAAAGAGAGATAAGAGGAAGAGAGGAATGGATGGACAGTGGTAGGTAGAAAGGAAATAAAGATGAGTGAGGAATGAAGGATCAGGTTTGATAAGCACAAACTTGGCACAACATGGGGGTATCAAGCAGACCCAAAATGCTTAACAATATTTTATTACATGTCATTTTATGCTTAACAATATTTTATTATGTCATTTTTTTTATTGAACAAAAATTTTTTGTAAGGTAGGTAAAAAAGTACAAGCAGGCCCTGCTTCACTTTACAGCATTTCATTGAATTTGAATTTGAATTTGAATACAGCACTTTTCAATTATACCCACTTTTCATTTATTCAAACTTCCTACAATAAATATATTCACCACTCATATAAACTGAGGATGAAACTATTTTAAGGTAAGTAATGTGTGTACTGTATATGCATTTTTTATGCCTAGCTATATTTCTCACTTAATATATGGTAGTGTAAACATGTT